TTCCTGTATTTAAGGCAGGGTCTACACAGTATCACTATGTAGATCGGACTCGTAGTGATTCTCCTGTTTTCAGCCTCCCAAGTGCTGGGATTACAGGTGCACGCCACCACGCCCAGTCTCAATTGCTGTCTCATTGCACCCCACGGGCAGGGCCAGCAGGCATGCCGGGATCAAGCCCGGCCGCTGTGCTCTGCCTAAGCAAGTGCTTTAGTCTGCTGAGCTATCAGGCCAGCCGACACTGCTTTTAGATTACAGACCAGACCCTTGAGCCAGCCTGCAAGCCAGGGCAGGTTCTGTCCTTCTCTCCAATCTCAAGGCCATCCGCCCCTATCTCTCTACAGTCTGTCCCTCAGCTATGCGGAGCTTTCTGCCATGGGACCTTTGTACATGACTTCTCCCCAGTGCCCACAGGGCTGGACTGAACTCCACCGTCTCCACAGTATCTAACTCCTCCATCACCCCCAGCTATGTGTGAGGCAGAGTAGAGGTCATGCAGCTCTGGTCCTGTTAGTACCTTGTTTCTGTCCCTTGCAATGACCAGAGGGGAGGTGGGGGTATGGCCGCATGTGTGCCCCTCTCCTGCCCGAGGTGGGCTGACTGGTTCCTGGGCAGGCTGGTGCAGAGCTACACACACTGAGCTCTTCTTCCTTGCCACAGGTAACTCTGGAGACTACATTGCAAGCCCGAGCCAGAAAAGCCAACATCCCGGGAAAAAGCCCCAACGTAAGCTCCCTTCTCACCCGTGACATCCTCGTGGCTGTGGCTGCCCAGGGCTTTAGCTGGGACACGCTGGGGTCCCTGTTCCTTCTAGATGGGCACAGCCTATGCAGGTCACCGTAGGGGCCACTGACCTCATAATGGGGGCCGAGCAGGGCTGCATGGGTGAAGTAGCTGGGTGGGTTTTGGACTTTGGGTGGGAATCACTTCTGTACTCTTGTGTTCTCAGTTTTCTTTTTTTCTTTCTTTCTCTCTCTCTCTCTCTCTTTCCTTTCTCTTTCTCTTTCTCTCGCTCTTTCTCTCTCACTTCTGTACTTCTGTGTGTCTCAGTTCTTCCTTCCTTCCTTCTTTCCCTTCTACCTTTCTTTTTTTATGGTACTGGGGATCGAACTTAGGATCTTGCGCTTGCCAGGCAGGCACTTATGTCGCTGAGCTATATCCGTAGCCCTCTCAGTCATTTCTAGGATATTCCTGCCTTTCTACCACTGAGACATTTTAGAAAAATTCTTTCCCTGCCCCCCACCCTCCCATGGAGTTTTAATATCACAGCTGTGCAGTATATTGGCTTATTTCTGGGCTTTACTACATACAAAGAGTGGATTTATGTACAGCCTTGTAAACATCAGCTTCTGTCCTTTTGGGGTGATGTTACCCAGATGTTTACGGGTTTCAGGGTAACACGGATGCTGCTGATTTGGGGCCCAGGAAGCCACTTGTCCCTCAGGGGTGCATACTCTGGATACTGTTTACCAACTGCCATGGCAATTGACAAGAATTTTTTGCCTCCCTAGTTTTTGTTAGCTTTTGTCCTCCTTTGTAGAGATGCAGCTTATGGGCAGCCTTTTTCAGAGCCTTCTCCAAGTTCAGACGCCCTCCCTCTGTATGAGTCAGATGTGCGCCAGGAGACATCATTACCTTCCTCTGAAACTGTGAGAGTGGTGTTATGTTTTAAAGTACCTGAATCTTGGGCCAGCCAGATAGCTCAGTGGATTAAAGCACCTGCTTAGGCAGACACAGGGACTGGGTTCGATCCCGGCATGCGGGTCAGCCCCACCCCCAGGGCACACTGAGACTGAGACTAGGAATGGTGGTGTGCGCCTGTAATCCCAGCAAGTAGGAGGCTGAAAACAGGAGGATCACTATGAGTTTAATCTGTGTAGTGAGACCCTTTGGACCCTGTACTAAATACATAAAAAAATAATAAAATATCTGAATCTTGAAAACTTTCTTTTTCAGAAGACAAGAAACCCAAGAAAACCTGTAAGTTCACATTTTTTTGTTTCTTTTTGCTCGGGAGACTTATCCAAGCCTAGAACTCAAAGCTGGCCACAAGCCAGGCATGGGCACACACCTAGAATCCTAGGGCTCAGGGAGGCTGAGGCCGGAAGTTCAAAAGTTGGACCCCAGCCTGGATAACTTAGCAAGTTAGTGAGACCCTGTCTCAAAATAAAAAGTAATAAAGGACTGGGGAATATAGCCCAGTGTAATGGCTCTAGATCCAATTCCCAATACTCAGAACAGAACAGAACAATAACAAAGTGACAGCAGCTGTTAATCTCTTTTACTGTGGTTTTGGGGTGGGCAGAATATTTTTTTTTTTTTTTTTTTTTGTGGAACTGGGGATTGAACTCTGGCCCTTGCACTTGCCAGGGAAGTGCTTATTCCACTGAGCCATCTCTACAGCCTGGTGGGCAGAATCTTGACTGTGTTCCTACTGTAAGGCTGAGAGGGGTGGGATGTAGCTTAGTGGTAGAGCATTTGTGTAGCAAGGGTGAGGCCCTGGTTTTGATCTCCACTACCACTAAATAAATAAATACAGCAGGGGTGATGTCGCCTGCCTTTAATCCCAGCACTCAGGAGGCTGAGGCAGGAGGATTGTCATGAGTTCAAGACCAGCCTGGGCTATATAGTGAGTCCAAGACCATCTTAAGCTGCATAGTGAGACCCTGTCTCAAAAATGGAATGCATGAAAGCAAGAAAGGTAGATGTGATTGTAAGCCAGACGAGGTCCGGGCAGTCAGGAAGTTGAGGCAGGAAGACTGCTGTAAATTCAAGGCCAGCCTGGGCTACATAGCAAGGCCTAGTCTCCAAGACACAAATGGAATATATAATCATAGTCCAGCCCTAGCTTCTCAGGTGTTTATTGAAGGAGTGGCTCCCACCCCACCCCTTCTGGCCCCATCCCCAACCCATGTCTCCCTTCCTCCCACGCAGCTACTGTCACGACCCCTACGACATCACCCAAGATGCCCACCTTCGGAGCCCCAGGACAGACGGCTTTCCCGGATGGTGAGTTACTGCGGCCAAGCGCGAGGGGGGTCTCCACTGGGTCTGTCCGCCAACCGTTGTCTGTTTCCTCTCCCGATGCCAGCCAAAGCCGAGGAGCCTCAGGCTCTCAAGGCCAAGGTGCTCGAGAAGTTCTTAGCCAAGTCCAGACCTGAGCTCCTAGAGTGTGAGTAGCTTGGCGGTATGGGCGGAAGGAAGTGTGGGCAGAAGGAAGTGTGGGCGGAAGGAGGTGTGGGCGGAAGGAAGTGTGGGTGGAAGGAGGTGTGGGCGGAAGAAGTGTGGGCGGAAGGAAGTGTGGGCGGAAGGAAGTGTGGGC